TATATGAAAAAATGATTTGTAGCTACTGAGGAGAAAAATAAACATACCCACATCTTTAGTCTTTCTAAAAGATATCCATTCCATTTAATTTCAGAATAGAACTACAGGAAAATTTGTAACGTTAAAATATTCCTCCAGAAGCAGCTGAAGCAAAAAGATCTTAGTATTATTTTTTAAATCAGAAATTTCTTTAAAGAAAGTTTTCAACACTGGCCGTATGATTCGCTACGTGACCAATACTGGCGATTAGGTGATAGTAGATTACACCGTGCTATTGCGGTTATCCTCTTGTCCCCCTGTATTTCGGGCAGTCATTTCAAATAACCACTTGTTTGAGAGAATCCTGGTCTGTCCCGTGAATGCCTCACTGACGAAGATGAATTCTTGAATGTCATTAACGTTCATGCCCTAATGAATGTTCGAGTGGCAATGACAAAGATGTTTTCTATGACACCTGCAGTCGGCTATTAGCGCTCTGTTGCTTCATGACATCACAACTGTCACATGCGATCCCAACGCAAGGGCGGAAGCAAATCGGAAAGGGCGTCTAATAGATTAATGCAATATTACCAACGTTATTCGCAGCAGCACCGGGAGAGGGTTTCAAGATGTCCCCCGTTTGGAAAATCAAGGATTGAACATAAATCTGTATTACGAACTCCACCTTCGATAGCAAAAGACATTCTGATCCTCTCAAGATCGCTAGAACTCCGAAAAGCTGAATGACGTCAGCATCAACAAGTTGAGCTGAAACTGAGCCTGCCGACGACTTAGTTCATGCTTAACAAATATGTTACGCCGCCACCTGTTGAAGTGAATGGACTCAGTCTTGAAGAGGTGCAACACTACAAGATAGATACAGTTTATCTCTATGAAATCAGCATAATTAATTATAAAAATTATTAAATGCAGCATTTCTGGAAGATTTACGAGTTCTTATCCGGGAAACTGTCCTTGTGAAAAAAACAGAAAAGAATCGATCAGTGCGTACTTCCAGAGCTAACCGGTAGATACAAAAAGTGGACCCAAAGCCCTACGCAACGCAGCAT